CTCTCTCTCTCTCTCTCTCTCTCTCTCTCTCTCTCTCTTTCTCTTTCTCTCTCTCTTCTCTCCCTCTCTCTCATAAACTAATCAAATTTGGAGATTTAGAAGACAACAAACGTGGAGAAGACATGAACCTTCTAAATAATGACTTTCCCTTGCTTTGGTTATTCTGGTTTTAAATATCTTTAGTACAACTTTAAATAGATCCAAATTAGATATTTTCCTCCTTTAAAAAAACAGTTCAAAGATCTAGGCTTTGGTGGTACACTGAAAGTTAATACTTTATTCTTTAAAATACTTAATTGCAAACTTTTAAATTCTATAAATATTTTGCCTCTTAATTTCAGAAACATAAACAAATTTGGGATACAGACATCTAATGTACTGCTACTTATTACATGTGATTAGTCACAGTTGTCTGTACATTTCCTTCTGACATTTCACAAAGAAACACTAAAGAAGGACCAGTGCAATCAAAGAAATGACTGATGACATCACAAAATCTCACATGCCATTTGATGATCTGATTACATCTTTGTTTAGAGAGATCAGAAAGTCACAGTCTCATGTCACCCTCCACACCTATACACCTTATATGACAATGGATCCAACTGCTTTCACCAATAGACACAGCACTTAAAGTTCTGTCACAGTTAAACCTGACCCCAAGAAAGCCAACAAGCCTCAAAATTCTGTGAGCATCACTCAGTACTCAGGTTGACTAAGGTCTATCCAGGCTTGAGAGAATGGTTCACAGCTGACTTCTTGAATCAAAAAAATCCTCGAGTTTCATATAGATATGATAAGAACATTAAAGGATTGCAATAAAAACTACCAAAATTATGGTTCTTATTTTTGGAGAGCAAAGAAAACAGGCTGCCTTTAGAACGGGGTGAAACAGTTTCTGATCTGCTTACAAACTGCTTGCTGCCCATCAGTGGGTAGGAGGCCTTAGTGAGAACCTACCTCCATGCTCATCTTGAGGTAGGCACTGTGAAGGCATTAACAGGCTCTGAAGCTACACGAGTCTGGTTTCAGTGAGCCCTTTGGCTCACTGCTGTGTCAACTTGGGAAACTTACTTCTTCTTCCGTGAAATGTGGACGATCATAGTACTCAGAGGGTTGATTTGAAAGCAAATGAGTTCAAACACAATGACATCTGTGCTTGGTGCATATATGGCAGACAACAGTGATTCCTACTGTTATAATTATTATAGACTTACCAAGGAAGAGCTTTTCACAAATAATCAATTACCTGAAAATGTTCACAAACAGGAAAAAAAAAATCCTTCCAATAATTCGTGTGCAATTGATCTTTCTTTTCTAGGAGGATTGATCTCAACCTGATGTAATGCAAGCACTTTAAAAAGTCTTGTAAAATTTTCCTGGTAAATGCGAAACTTTCTGATAAACAAATTCTCACCTTTTTATTCATTTGTTTATTCAATAAATACTGCATACCAACAGTATGCAAAGCACTTTGCTAGATTTTATAGTGTATTAAAAGATAAGTCACCATCTCTACATATAGTTTGCTGTTTAATAAAAGAGACACTATATTTGTGTAAATAACTACATTCAAGAACAGAAGGTGTAAGAGGGATAATAAAAATTGAGACAGAAGGAAGATAGATTAGTTTGAGATTAAAGAATATCCCCAAAGAAGGTATTATCTGAGATTAGTCTGAAGGATTCTTGTGATTCAGAAACACAGAATGAGAAGGGTGCCACATACCAAGAAATAACCTGAGAGGGGCGAGTACGCTGGAAAATGAGGGACTTGCCTGAAAGTACTGGTGATGTTTAAGAAGGGCTGGGCTCGGGGTTGGTCACAGTGGGAGAGGCCCTTGAATGTCCAACATTATGAACAGAGGCTCAAAGGCTACCATTTTCTATTTTTACCTTGAGTTCAATCCATGTAGCAATAAAACTTCAGTGAAGCTTTATTTACTGCTAAAAGTGTCTTTTTAAAAGCCTTCTTATATAATATCCTTTGCATGTTACTCTTATTATAATTAGGAAAAAAGCAAAAAAATCTAGCTTTTTCACAGCATGGTTTTGGTTTTTTTCATTCTAAGCAGCTCACCTGGTGTTGCATTGGAAAAAAATAGCTTTTATATATTATTTATATTCCATATGCCAGTCATCAGTGGCATATCAATCTGAGGTTTGTAGTGTTAGCCACAAAACACTCCCTAAGTGAATACATAGACTGCTGTAAGGGAGCCGGTCAGGAAGCATCTGCAGAGAAAAGCAGGCAACATGTATAAACAGAGTTAATTCAGGAATGAGAGCTGAATGGCTGGGCGAGTCTGTTTGTTTGAGTTGACAGCCTCTCCCTAACTCTTCTATTAAACACCCAACTAACCTTCAATTGCCCTCTTAGAAATTAATCACAGTATAATTTACAGCATTTCAAAATTGTCAAGCAGAAAAAGATCCTGCCCTAGAAGAGGGTCTTTTGTTCAATGCTAGCAGACTAACTCCTACTACAAAATTCTACAAATGCCCTAAAAAGGGAGGTAGGATAGATTTACAAATTGCTAACTCTATTAGAATGTATAGATAATAATAGATCTATAACAAGCTGGCACACAGCTTTAAAAATACAAGTTCTTCTGAATCTTCTGGGAACTCGGAATGCCAGAATGTTGGCAGAAATAATTTTTCTAATGATGTAAGCCATCATCTGTCAGGGAAAGTATTTCAGAGTCTTTAGAAAGCTACTTTACATATAAAATCCATTCAGCAATAAAGCTTATGTTCATCTTTTCTCTGATTTTCCGCCTGTTATAAATTCATTTTATAGGAACTCCTTTTACCAGTCCCTCTACCCCATTTCTCAAAGTGTTGTCCTTAGACTACCTGTATCACCTAAAGATTTCGAGGCCTCCTCTGATCTAGTAAACGAGACTTTTTTATAGAGAAGTTCCTAGAATTTTACAAAGAAAAATCCTTTTTATTATTGTGATCACCAAGGTTACTTCTGCCTAGATTTTTCTTAACGTTATTTTTTCAGCTCTTATCTTCCCAGACAACCTAATCATTCAAAGGTAAAATTGATGCTTGGTTTAGATGATCATAGCAAGCACCTTGACAGATTGATGATGTCCTCCAGAGTCAAAAACTTAATGCAATGCTTTCACCAAGTTACAAATGGCCAGAATCAATTGTGGTTGAACTTATTCAGAGGGTAATTACAAACCAAACTTCTTGAAATATCCTGCTGCTATGTACTTTTCTTCCTTCTAAAATGTATCACTTCTCTCCCTGTTCCATTTTGTTTGCCTCTTTTTTTCTTTTTTCGGACTCCCCGGCCTCCATACTGGGTGGTAAAGCTGGCTGTGGGAGATGAAAGAGAAATGACTATAATAAAATCACCCTTTTGAAAACATGTCTTCCAAATGAGTTTCATTTCTAGCATATAAACTCCACACCACCTAAGGCCATTTAGGCTTTCTTTATTTAAGTACCAGTTAGGACATATTTTGGATACTAGCAATTTATTTTCTAAATGCTATCTTTGATCTTAAGTTTAAGGCTATTACCAAGTCTATATCTTTATCCGTTTTATACATTAGGCCAACAAATTATTTGATAACCTATTACTATGTGTTCTGTGAAAGAAATTAAAGTAAAATTTACATGACATTTATCAATCACACATGATGGCTGTGTGATTGGGTAGGAAGAGGTGGATCCTGCAGATGGAAGAGTTGGGTTTCAGTCCCAGCTTCTTAGTATCTGCATGATGCCAGAAAAATTCACAAATGCCTCTGAGTCACAGGTTTCTCTTCTAATAGGAATGAAAATACTTCCTATTTCACAGATTTTCCATAAGAGTTAAGGAAGATAACAAATAATGTGCTTCCTGATGAAGCATTTATGAATGCCTGAGCATGCTAAGAAAGTTATAAACATGTTCCTTGATTCTTGAAACAGCTTTCTCTGTATTTGTATGTATGTGTTTTAGTAATGACAGCTTGTTTTTCTTCTCATTACTTGAGGATTTAGGGTATTTTTTGTGCACATTTGGTTTATCTGTCCAACATGAGCTGCAGTACCTTGCCCACACTGAGATGACACTCTTTCCACCAAGTGAGTACTAGAGCATACTGCAAGCCAAATGCTAGGTGTGATAGACCACAGCATCACAGCACTGTAGCAGTTGATGAAAACTGTGCATATGGACCAAAAGCAGTGGCTCTGCTTCTCCTACCTTTGTGACCTAAACTGAGTAACAAATTTGACCTAATACTGCAACACCACCTAATTCTTTTTTCCTCCCTGATTTACCCTGGAGTCCACAATCGACAACAATTTTAAAATCTCTGGCTCTCTCCCAAATCCCTAGTGCCTCCTCCTTATACCTTACAAGCAAAGACCTGAGGAGTTAAGACCTATAATGCCAGGATGGAGGCAAGAGAACCATCAGCAATTAACTACCAAAACTTACCCAGCATTTTATATGTGTTTAAGCTTCATAACCTTATGAGTAACAGATCAATACCTTTGTTTTGCAGGTTAGAAAACTGAGGCTCAAATTGATTCAGTAACTTTACCAAGCTTGCCAATTTGTGAGCAGTAGCATAGGCTTATATCCAGGACTAAGACGGAGTTTTCTCTGTCACCACTCAAGGCCTCCCTGAACATCCCATCTCTGCTCTGTATCTCTCTGCTACTCCTTCTATGGTTTTAGCAAGATGTCCTCTACTCCAGAGGCCTATCATAGCATAGTAGAATTACTGGGGTAGATTTTTTAAAAATATGAGTGTCTAGAACCCCTCTAGACCAATCAGAATCAAAAGTCTTGAAGAGAGCCTCTGGTATCCGTATTTTTTTTTAATTCAGCAAATGATTCTGTTGCACTGTGAAAGCTGAGAACCACCAATTTAAATAATGATATTAGTCCTGTGAAAAAATCTCTGTTGCTTTAACATTTAATCAATGACATATTCTCATTATAAAAGATATTATTAATACATAGTTTCTCTCTTGTGTAACAGGTGGATGAGATATTTATAAATTCTGCCTTGAAGAAGCACTATATCAAGAACCAAGTAGTCAGACTGACGTATGTATGTTTGGGCAAATGTGAAATCACAAGACTGGAAGGAAAAAGAACACAGGAGATAGGGACCCTCATGTATTGTGTGTCTCTATGGACTAGGCTTTTGGCTAGAATTTTTCATAAACATTTTCTTTAAAGCAGTCTTGAAATATAGGGCTGACCACCATTTTGTCAACAAAAAAGACTAAGATTCAAGGAGGGTAAGTAATGTGTTCAAACTTCCCCAACTGACAGTTTCACAAGTGACAGAACCAGGACTCAAACCCTATCAACTTATTGTAAGGCCTGGAACCTACCAGAACTCGTGGCCTTGGGAAAACTCAGCAGTTTGTCATTGCATGCACCAAACTGTATTCTTTTGACAACTATGTCATTTCAAGCATGTTAAAAAGGCAAAGTGGGCTACAAAACAGGATCACAAATTCTAGCTGTAATGAAGCCTAATGACATGAGGTATGCCTAAATGAAAAGATATTCCTGTCGTAGTAAATTTTCGTTTTGTTGTGGTGGAGGAGGAAAGGCTCATATCAGTTGCAGTGTTGCTCAGAAGTTTCAAATGTGCTATTTTGAAAATTACACAGCAGAACATATACATCATATACACAAATCCATGAGCCTGTATGACTCGTATTTCTTAAAGATAAAGAAAAATCACATATTCAGAGTTTGTTTTATTTAAAGAAAATAATATTCACTTTCTTACCAATAATGCTTTGTTAGCAGATGTACTCCAAGTTATTTGTCTTTACTGAGAAGTGACAGCACCAGGACTCAAACCCCATCAACAGAGGCATGCTTCATGTCATTAGGATTTTATAACATGAATTGGGTAATTTCTACAATACTTAGGAGATAAAAAGCACATAAATGCTAGAACTTTCTGGATTTCGTGTTTTCTGTTTTCAAATTCTGATTTGTTATATTATTGTAGCAACATTATCATACTTTTGTGAATTCCTTTAGATGGTAGCCATCCTCACTACATAACACTTAGTAAAAATGTTAATTCCCCAGATTTAAGAAGTAAAATTAGTCACCTTTTTGACAATTTGACATAAAATTTGAGTTATTTAGATCTTTATATTCCAGAGCTTAAATGAATGAAAATACATAAATTGTCTCAGAATTGAAATAATTTCTTCCTTTTAGCCAAAAGATCCAGGAAGACAGGCCTTTAGTGTTTTTTACAGCTTAAAAAAAAAAAAATAGGCCGGGCGCGGTGGCTCAAGCCTGTAATCCCAGCACTTTGGGAGGCCAAGGCGGGTGGATCACGAGGTCAAGAGATCGAGACCATCCTGGTCAACATGGTAAAACCCCGTCTCTACTAAAAATACTAAAAATTAGCTGGGCATGGTGGCACGTGCCTGTAATCCCAGCTACTCAGGAGGCTGAGGCAGGAGAATTGCCTGAACCCAGTAGGCGGAGGTTGCGGTGAGCCGAGATCGCACCATTGCACTCCAGCCTGGGTAACAAGAGCGAAACTCCGTCTCAAAAAAAAAATAAGAGAGATAACAGATCAATACGTATTAGTTTCAGGGTTTTTTTTAAACTGTAGTTGGTTTTCCTGTTTTAAGAGTATTTAAAAGTTCAGCCAAAAGATTCAGGAAGATGGCCCTCTAGTGTTTTTTATACTTTTTTTTTTTGCACACAAAAAAAGTATAGAAGAGAAAACAGATTAATATGTACTAGTTTCAGTTGTTGTTTTAAATCTGTAGTTGGTTTTCCTATTTTAAGAGTATTTAAAGGTTCAGTTCCTCAGGTAACAGAACTTGAACCTGTTTATATGATAAAAGTTGAAGAAACTGAGCATGTTTAATTTGAAGAAGACTCAGGGACCACGATATTGTTGTCTTCAAAGGGGTAGAGGAGGAAATTATTTTATGCATGTTCCAACTGGCATACCTAAGCCTTATGGAACGGGAGATAAAGAGAGACATATTTTAACTCAAAATGATGAACTCTTAAAAACAGAGCTGACCAAAGAGAAACAAGGCTCTTTAGAAAATTAAACTTACTATCTTTTTAATTACTGCACTGTCGTGAGAGGGTCAAATGTCATGGACCCTGTAGAGGTGATTCAAGAGCCAGAAGACGGAACATATGAAATGACCATGGGTCAGAATGACATGAGAGGATCAGTACTTGACACTTTCAGCAACTGAGCCATCATTCAGGGGAGGAAGATACAGCAAAGACTGAAGGACAATTGCAGATGTATTCCTTGAAAATGTACCTTTCTTTTGTGTGTCATAGTCCAGAGGAAGATGGTGTGAAAGCAGATATCATTATGGTGTTCCAGTTTCCTTCTACTGAGCAAAGAGCAGTAAAAGAGAATAAAATCCAAAGCATCTTAAATCAGAAGATAAGGAATTTAAGAGCCTTGCCAATAAATGTCTCATCAGTTCATGTTAATGGTAAGGATGTCCCCTTCTATGGGATATGAAGTTCTCTATTAGGTCCATGTTTTGACTAATCTCAAACTTATTTGACATGATTTCCATTCCAAATAATACCTAGAATTCAGATGAAAAAATTCAAGTTAAAGAAATGACATTTCAAGGTTTATTAGTCTCTGAGGCAAGCATGTCTGAGGTTAGTCATCCAGTGGTTTTCCCAACAGTAATTGATTGGCACTCATCCCAAAATAAAGGCAGACATTTACAACTTAACAGAGGGTTAATCTCAGCCAGCCACTGCCTCCATGACTAAGCAAGTGAAAATACTGAGGGTTTAGCAATAATTGTTTTTCTGGGTGGGACCTTCCTGAAATATAAATTCATTTGTTGCCTTATTTTATTGATAGTTTCTATATATGGTGATAGAAGCATTTTGTTAGCTTTTTTTCCTATGGACATTTAAGAAAATGGCAAGCCAACTTTGAAGCTGTTAAAGTCATTTTACTATTAATGCTTTAAAAATCACAGTCTTCAAAAACATCACTGAAACTATATATATATATTATTCCACTTTCTTTCTTTCTTTCTTTCTTTTTTTTTTTTTATTTGTCGTTGTTGTTGTTCACCCCTTAACTCATTATACCATTATCATGTCTCTAAATTAAGGAGAAAGAACCTTTATCCAAGTCTATCCCTATGGCCTTTACCTGAAGTAACTGATTTCTTTTTATATTCCAGTGAAGTACGCAAGTTCATCTTTATAGAAGTGAAATTCGTGCAAAAAGAGTTGAGGAATTCAGTAATTACAAGGAGCTAAGATTCAAATTTAGAAGTCTGATTTCTTTAAAGGCTCCAATTAAAAAATGTTTCTAACAGTCAAACATATCTTAAAAATTCTGTCTATGATATTCATTTCTTGGAAATTCATCCTTATAGTATCATATTAAAAATTCTGAGGCATCCAGCTAGAGAGAAACTTGTTTACCCTCAGACACTAAGCTGTTTTCACAGCATCTTCTTCCAACAGACAAGTACCAATTTCCCCTTCAAATTTCAATGGATGCCAGACCTAAGAGAGTTACAGAAGAGAGTTGGGCAAGCGATTTTTATCAGACATGAAACAGAACACTCTGCCCTGGTAAAGGTCTAGCTGACTCTTCAAGAGGAAACCAGATCAGGAAGTGAAAATGTGAGGTCATTACCATTCCATTGAATGGGCAGATATTTGCTGATGGGACGAGTCAGCTACTTAGGGAATAAAGCTGAGGACCTCTCCCAGCCAGGAGGGAGGAACCTGACAAGTGCTTAATCCATCTTCTTTGTTAGATAGAAAAGCAAATGAATAGAAGTTGTGAAACAATGGACATTCTGATAACTTACATGATGTGTCCTGTGTAATTTCCAATTCTTACAGGCAAAAACATTGCTTCCTGGGAAGACATAACTTAGGGACTTCCAATACATAGAAAACTCTAGAGATTCAAGATCAAGTCTAGAAATAACCCTGTAGCCCAAGATTTATTTGAAATTTGTCAAATATCTGCATTTTGTTTTGACAAATAACTGTGTGGTGTGGGCCCTTCAGGAGACACAGTGTGACAAAGCAAAGCTAAATCAGCTTCTTCCGACTGCAAACGCCAGGGCTGCAGTAATGCAGCTCAGTACCTACATGCCAAATGACTTTGTTTCATTTTTCACCTTGATACTTTGTTTCTTTTTCACTTGATAGTTTATAGAGCCCTGAATATTAACTAGCTTTCCCCCAACTCGGAAACTTGTTAGGAGATAGTCACTTTCAAAACTAAAGTGTTAGTGTTTACTTCCATGTTACTACCTGGAAGGTAAAAATCTTTGGTCAGAATTAGAAATCTTTAACAACTAGTTACTTGTATATTGACAGTTTGTTTTCAGGTATAATCATTCTCCCTAAAAATTCGATTATAAAGTTGGTAGAAAGTTTCATGAAAATTGTGATGATCCTGGTATCATTCCTGGAAATGGATAACTTGCCTCTTGCTCTGACAAAGTTTAAACTTAAGAATTCTAACATTATGTTATTTTCCACTTTATTTCATTAGTAAGGACAAAATATATAGTTTTATTAAAAATGAAATAAATTTACTGCCTTAAACTACATTTGACAGAAAACTGAGTTCCTTCCGTAGAGTAAGCACTAAGAGCAACTGATGGTCCTGAGGAATTGATTCTTTACCATATAATGAGTTGAGATGCCTTTAACGGTATTCTTGAATTGAATATTTTCAAAAACTCCCACTTTGTAGACTTTATCATCATTGGTTTCTCCAGTGGAATTTATAGAAAGTTAGTAGAATGAAACATTCTCATTTTGTATAATGGAGAATACAATGCTGAGACTGTGTCTGAGAAACATGGCACTGGTAGGAAAAAGTAAAACAGTTAGTTATCTGCTCAGTAAGCTAAGTCATTTTAACTTGAAAATCATCACAATTTTCATGAAACCTTTCACCAACTTTATTTTTCCCCAACCTTAGTAAGATATAATTGACAAATAAAAATAAAAATATGTATACAAGTTTAAATATTTGTTTCCCTAGCCAAATTCCTCACTTTTTTGGAAGTTGACAGAATTTAATCTTGGATTATGTTCAATAACTAGCTTTTACCAATATTCAGTAGATTTTGGATAAGAATACATAATAGTTTATTCTTTAAAAAAGCAATTTTGTTATTTAGGAACTGTGTTTAGAAAGCATTTAAAATATCATTTATGTGAGAGTTTTCAAAGTTTTTCATCCTAAACCCTTTAACCAAAAAAAGGTTTATGTGAAGTTCAAAGTAAATAAAAGAGATCAAAGCACATCTGTTCTGGCTGAGGCTGGTTAAGACCTGTAAAACAATCTACTTTTGATACGATTTGGCTGTGTCCCCACCCAAATCTCATCTTGAATTGTAGCTCCCATAATTCCCACATGTTGTGGGAAGGACCTGGTGGGAGATAATTGAATCATAGGTGTGTTTTCCCTCATACTGTTCTCTTGGTAATGAATAAGTCTCGTGAGAGCTGATGGTTTATTAAGAGGCTTCCCCTTTCACTTGGCTCTCATTCTCTCTCTTGCCTGCCACCATGTAAGATGTACCTTTGCCTTCCTCCATGATTGTGAGGCCTCCCCAGCCACATGGAACTCTGAGTCAATTAAACTTCTTTTTCCTTATAAATTACTTTGTCTCAGGTATGTCTTTATCAGGTATGTCTTAATCAGTTTGTTTGAAAACAAATACAACTTGTTTCCTCTGTTCCATTTACCCATCTTCTGAAGTGGAATGCAAAGAAGCTTTACCCTCAACTGCTGGAAAACCATAGTTCTCTATTAATACAAACTATTTGTAGGCTTAAATCATCCACTATTTGTGCCTTACTCACCTGTTGCTTGCAATAGTATACACCTAATTTGAAGTTGCCTATAAGTCTCTACAAAAAATGGTACATAGATGTTGGTATATCAGAAAGCCATTCTCCTAATTGATCTATGTGTTCAACTTTCTGGAATCCATATATGATCAGGATCCTCTGATTATTCCTGATCATTGAGACCAACCAGGAAAGTATTAAATTATCATTCTTTGTTTCGTTTTTCAGCAATGAGCTCATCAGCAGGGGAGTCAACTGTCCAAGCAAGTAAGTTGAGTTAGCTGATATAAACAAGTTCAATTTCCACATCAGAAAGGACATCTTCAAATATTTGCTCATACTTGCCTATCTGTGCTCTAAATTTTCTTTGAGTCATAATAACTGTTTGTACAATGGATTTATATTTTTTTCTAACTCTAGGACTAATCTTTTAGTCATGTTCAAGAAAGAATTTTCCATGATAACCTTCTGGGGCAATTTGAAGAAAGTATATATTTCTGATTGGGAATACTGGATTTGTTTTTCTAATTTTTAAAAATGCATAAAATGTACTTTCTGCTACAAAATAAAATAATGAGAAAGTAATTCATGGGGAGGACGTAAAACCCATTGTTTGTGATTGATAAATTGTCTATGAAATATGCTGAGGTAGGGAGTTCAAGACCAGCCTGACCAACACGGTGAAACCCCGTCTCTACTAAAAATACAAAAATTACCTAGGCATGGTGGTGGGCACCTGTAATCCCAGCTACTCAGGAGGCTGAGGCAGGACAATCACTTGAACCCAGGAGGCGGAGGTTGCAGTGAGCCAAGATCATACCACCATATTCTCTCCTGGGCAACAGAGCAAGACTCTGTCTCAAAATAAAAAAAAATAAAAATAAAAAGATGCTTAATATATTTATCTTCATAGCTAACAGTGGCTATGAAGATAAATCACTTGAAATCACTGTGGCCTACGTTTTGAAAGATTTTACAAAAGCGGTGACGAATTTTAGCAGTGATGTTCATGCATTTGCCTCTGTGTCTTGCAAACACCCTAAGTATTATTATTCATGTGTTTATTCATTCAAAAATATCTTTTAACATCTACAAAGTGCCAGAAATTAGATCAGGAGCTGGTGATACTACTATGAATAAAACATGATCCCTGCCCTAAAATTAGAGTTCCAAAATAGAGAAAGAGAAGTATCAAAATAGTGTGATAAATGCTTGACAGAGCAAGTGCACAGTGCTATGAGAGTCAATTGAAGAGTTAGCTAACCTGGTCTCACCGAGTAAGAAGGTGAACCCTGAAATGAGAGAGAGAAGAGGCCATGAATCCAGTGACAGGTGGGGTGAGTGTCCTTCGCAGGAGGAGTAATATACAAAAATGTCTTCAGACAAGTGAGACTGGGGTCATTTCTTGTAATTACAAGATGGTTCTTATAACTTGATGATCTCATTTTTTTCAGGTTGTGGTAAACGAGTTGTTCCATTAAAAGTCAACAGAATAGCAACTGGAGATATTGCACCCAAGGCAGCCTGGCCTTGGCAAGCTTCTCTTCAGTATGATAACATCCATCAGTGTGGGGCCACCTTGATTAGTAATACATGGCTTGTCACTGCAGCACACTGCTTTCAGAAGTAAGTAATTGACCTTAAGTTAGAACTCACTTCTGCTAAAAAGCCCTGAGTTTTGTCACATTCTTGGTAAAAATTAATGTCCCAAATATTAATGAAGTAAAATAAGAAAAAGCTATTTCAGGATCTTTTCTAAAATAATGTTACGCTTGCGTACTTAATCGGAAAATTTGATGGGAATAAAGGAAATAACAGTCATTATTCTAGTATTTCTCAATCAGTTCCCCCAAAGTTTTTAATAAGGAAACTGTAAGGGATCAGAACATTTTTGTGACAACCTAACACAAAATATTCACTAATAACATGTGACATTAATCGTTTGTCAAACAATACTCTCCACTTAATACTAATGTCTGTTTCTGCCAAACTTGGGGCAGTCTCATGCTGATCATAAATAATCAAACTAATTCCAAAGTAAAATGGAAATTTTCAGTAAGTACAGGAAGTTGGTAACGTGATGGAGAACCACAGATCAAATTTAAGGCATTGACATCTGAGGATCTGTGGGATTAGAACAGCTTACAACTGAAATGAGAAATTGCTAGCATGATAAAGACAGGCACTTCAAAAGAGATTCCTGGGAGTATCAAAGGATTCAGAGAGGGCCTTGGGCTACTCAATAAGGCCTTCGTATAATAAGACAAAAGCTGAAGTAAAGAATAGCAAATTGTGCTCTCATAAATTGCTTTCAAATGCATACATTTTATTAAATACATGATAAAATTACTTTTTAAATAACTTTTACTTTTCAAGATTATAACCAGTTATTTTTTACATTTAAAATTTTAGAATTTTTTCTGAGTAGATTAACTGTATCACCTTTCTTCTTCATTACCAATTATAAAACTTCATTTCACAGCACCAACTTCCAGATGTCCTATGTTTTGCTTCTTATTCTCTCAACATTCCAGACTTTGTCAGTGTCTCACTTAAAATATGCTTCCAATAACTAAATACACCAAGACAGATGTGTGACTATTGTCAGACATGACGAAATAAAGCAAGAAGACTTCTGAAAAATACAAATAATATAAATTCGTGGGAGACAGTGTTCTATAAAGGAAGAGCAGAAAGAGAGGCAGGCAGACATATGATGTGAATAAAATAGTTTAACCTATCGAGACTTTATTTTCCTTAAGTAAAAACACTGCCTTCATTAGATGATCTTTCATTGCTACTAAATGATTTTTCTGATTTCTGCATATACCCCAATCCACCCATTGTTCAAGCCCACAAGCTAGAAGTCAACCACATTTGATCATCTCTCAAAGGACGATGCAGTCATCTGATAGTCTTTACCACATCCATTCTTGACCTTCAACAATCCACTCACCAGAAAAAACCAAGGTGATTTTTAAAAATGTACATGAGACTACACCACCCTCTGTCTTAATTATCCAGTGGATTCCTGTATCACTTGAATAAACTTTAAGCACTTTACCATTACCATACAACATTGCAAAATCTAGTCCCTGTTTACCTCCCCAAGCTCACCCCTAACCATTCTTTCCCTTGTGCTGTGACTGCAGTCCAGCTGGCCCAAAACCTTGTGTTTTTTGCCTGGAAACTTGTTTCCCTCATCGCCTTACACTGATCCTCCTTTACTATGTCTTAGTCCAAATGCATTCTTAAGATAGTCATAATGACCCATTAGTACCCTCTCCTGTTACCCTATTTTAGTTTTGTCCATAGCCTTTATCACTGTTTAGTTAGTTATCTACTTGTTTGTTGCTTTGATTCTTTTCCTTCTCTGGAATCTTATACTCCTGTGAGCAGGCACCTTATGTCTTGTTCATCACTTTATCCTCAGCAGTTCAGATAAGGCTCAGCACATAGATTCTCAGTAAATACTTGTTGAAGTGATAAAGGAATAATATTTTATGTGCATTACAGTTCTAAAATTCAATAGTTTTATATTAAATGTCAGTTCTAATATGCTGTTTATATATATTTTATCTTTCAATATATTAGCAATAGACTATATGTAAATGATCAAAGAAAACTATAGCTTCAGCCAAGTATTCTCAGGATCATATTTGTCTTATATTAGCCTAAATGCAATTAATGTAGTTCATATACTTTGGGCAGCTTATATATATTCTGTTCATTTCTAACCTTTTCCAGGTATAAAAATCCATATCAATGGACTGTTAGTTTTGGAACAAAAATTAACCCTCCCTTAACAAAAAGAAATGTCAAAAGATTTATTATCCATGAGAAGTACCGCTCCGCAGCAAGAGAGTACGACATTGCTGTTGTGCAGATCTCTTCCAGAGTCACCTTTTCGGATGACATACGCCGGATTTGTTTGCCAGAAGCCTCTGCATACTTCCAACCAAATTTGACTGTCTATATCACAGGATTTGGAGCACTTTACTATGGTGGTGGGTATCGCAGGATAGCTTACAGAGCACTAAGCCCTGTCTAGGGCAATGTGATTTCATCCTCATCAATATTATCTTGACAGCCATTTCCACACGGTATGGTTGGATTAGTTAGGGTTCTTATTTTGCAAGTGAAAGAAATTCTATTCAGATTATCCAATGCAGAATAAAACACAAAGAAACAAAAAACTTCAACAAATTTGGCTCAAGTAGTAAACCAAAAAAATGTAGTAAGTTTCACTTCAGACACAGGAGTTCATATGATGTCATCTGGCTCTGCATCTTCTGAATCTGAATTTTTTGGCCCTGCTTTTCTCTATGTTGGCTTCCTTCAGAAGGATGCTAGCTTCACCTAGTGTCAGAGGTGGCTAACAACACCTCAACCCTTACATCATCCTCAACCAAGAAAAAATACATAGAAAGTAACATTTATTTCTTTTCTTTGCCAGAATTTACATTAATTTCTATTGTTCCAGTTTGTGTCTAGGAGTACTCAGATTGACTGGCTACTCAAATACTCTTTATGCCTATGTAGCAAAATTTGCTTCTAAAGAGGCTAATTTAAGTGTGATGGTGAATAAGAATAGTGTAGAGATAAATTGTCAAATTATTTGCCCTCTATGAAAGGATTCAACTTGATATACAAACTTAGTCTTGTAAGAAATAATAATAATGGCTGGGTGTGGTGGCTCACGCCTGTAATCCCAGCACTTTGGGAGGCCGAGGCGGGCGGATCACAAGGTCATGAGTTCAAGACCAGCCTGGACAACATGGTGAAACCCCATCTCTACTAAAAATACAAAAATTAGCTGGGCATGGTGGCACATGCCTGTAATCCCAGCTACTCGGCAGGCTGAGGCAAGAGAATTGCTTAAACTGGGACCCTGAAGGCAGAGGTTGAAGTGAGACAAGATTGCACCACTGCACTCCAGCCTGGGCTACAGAGTGAGACTCCGTCTCAAAAAAAAAAAAAAAAAAAAAAGAAGAAGAAAATTAAAAAAAGAAATGATAATGATTTAGCTATTGAACATTTAGGCATTCTTAGTGAAATATGCTCTAGATTCTACCATGTGATGCAGGTACATATGTATTACAATAGTTAGAGAGTTTCTTTAACCCTAGGCTTGAGAAAAAGGAAAAGGGCTTTCTGAGAATGTGTAAATCTATTTGCAGGACTCTATACAATTTATTTATATACAAAAAGTTATAAAGAATAAGCTTTAGATTCTCAGTCTTCCTTTAATGAACTAGGAATAACCTTTCACTCACTTAGGCATGAATAGGTTTTTAGGGTCTCTAGATTTTCTTCAGTCCTATGTGGTTTTGTTTCATCTTATACAGACTGAGGCATGCATTTCTTTCTTTAAGGTCATATTACCAATCACAGAAAATGTTACCTATAGTTTATTAATTCCAGTAGATTAGTGCTGCTATACGCCTGACACCTCCCTAGGTCTGCACTCTCTTGGATGGATTTTCTCTGAAGATAGGACTTGCATTCTTTGCTTCATAATAATGGGAAAGACATCACAAATCCTTCTTGTCTTGGTGGGAAAAAATCATTTTCTTTCAGGAGTTTGAGGTTGGTACAGAAACATACCTGTCATAATGCTTTGTGAGTGGCAACAGAATCTGACACTTACAGAGCACTCCATTCAATCTATTAAATAGATTAAATTAACCTATTATTCTTAATCTATTAAGTACATTAATAGATTAAAAGTACCTCTCAGTCACCTACCAAAAGAGGTCATTTTTAGGTCCATAAAGAAAACGCTAACAAGCTCTTAAAAACTGAAATTGTACAAAGTATATTCTCTGATCATTATGGAATCTAACTAGACATCAGTAACAGAAAGATAACATAAAAATCCCAAATCCTTAGAAATTAAATAACATAGGTAAATAAAGAGAAAACCTCAAAAAAATTGTAAAAACACATAAAACTGAATGAAAACAAAAATATATAAATATATGCTAGATGCAGCTAAAATAGTGTACAAGAGAAATTCATAGAACACGCATATTATAAGAAAATATCTCAAGTCAATAATTAAGTTTTCACTTCAAAAAACTAGAAAAAGAGAAAAATAAACCTAAAACAAACATAAGGAAGAAAATAGTAAGGATAATAGAAATCATTAAAATTAAAAATAAGAAACAATAGAGAAAATTAATAAACAAAAAAGTTGATTACTAAATAAAATCAATATTTTGCAAGAAATGTCATTAAGCATTACTACAGAAGATGAGGTGTAGTTTAGGGATGTCCAGAATTTATGGGCTATGCTTTTCATAACTTGGAATACATTTTACCAACTAGTTTGCTGAAAAAGTGGATATGCTTGTAAGTTAGCTGCTTACAATATGTAGATTGTCAGTTTCACCTTACTCTTTTCAGCATTGGACATGAATTTTTTAAATTGATAACATAGTAGGCAGTGTGTGTGTGTGTGTGTGTGTGTGTGTGTGTGTGTGTATCTATATATGTATAAACCAATTATATTCAAAGAACAGAATAATTCAAATAATCGTTTAGCATATTTCTGAGTTTCACACTTAAATCTTCTGAGCGCTTAAAAAAATCTGTTTACAAACATATCTTCAAAAATAAATATTGGATATGGTCTACTAAAGAAATTGGTGTTCATGTTAGGGATTTTTCAAATGTACTTATTTTTTTTTAAGTTGCTGTATAAAATAGCATTACTCACCATGTACAACATGATGTTTTGAAGTATAGTATATATACATTGTGAATGTTACATCTAGCTAATTAACAAATGTCTTATATTACACAATTATCATTTTTGTGGCAAGAACACTTAACATCTACTCTCTTAGCATTTTTCAGGCATCATCAGGAGGTTACCAGAAGCTGGAAGTCTTTACAGGGGGAGGGACTGGGGAGATGCCAGCCAACAAATTCATATTTGCAGTTAGATAGGAGGAATAAGTTCAAAAGATCTATTATACATCATAGGAACTATAGCTGATGATATATTGTATTCTTGTGTTAGTTTTTCTTATCGTGTAACAAATTACCACAAACAATTTAGAACAGCACTCATTTATTTTTATCTCACTGTTTTTATGAGTCAGAAGTTCAGACACAGCTTAGTTGGGTCCTCGCCTGAAGGTCTTACCAAATTGTAATCAAAATGTCAGCTGGGGTTGTGGTCACATCTGTGGCTCCTTTGAGGGCTTCCTGAAGGTTTGTTGGCAGAATTCCATTACTTGCAGCTGTAGAACTCATGACAGCTTGCTGCTTTAACTCTTTAGGAAAACACCTCCGAACTCCAGGAAGGCTCATCCTTTTTGAAATGGCTCAGCTGATTAGGTCAGCCCCACCTTTGATAATCTCCTTTTGATTAATTCAAAGTCAAACTCATTAGAGGTCTTAATTACATCTGTAAAATTCCCTCACCTTTGCCCTATAACATAATGTAATCATGAGAATCGCATCCATCATATCTGCAAATCCTGCTCATACTTGGGAAGAGAGGAATCACACGGGAATCTTGGGGACCATCCTGGAATTCTGCCAACCATGGGGTCATGGTTTTAAAACCAATATATGGTTTGGTATAAAGAATCCCTGAATGCTTGTGCTATTTTTAGTTTTCTATGTAGTCTGCCATAATACTAGTTTCTAAAACTTGGAATGTAGCTTACAGTCTGCAGCTACCAACTTGTAATACATTAGAAGTGAAATCATTTATATTTAATTCATTTTATATATATGTATGATATATAACATATTTCACATATTTTTATATACGTGAAAGCTCATCATAAACTTTAAATAATAAACGTGCATAGTATTATAGGCATTTTATCAAGCCAATGGAGAAAACTATCCAGGCATGAAAAGTTTCTGAGAACAATCTGGAACCCACAAATATAAGCTTTACAAAAGATGGAATGCCTTCCTGAAATATATAAGCTGATTATTTTTAAGGTTAGCTTTTTTCAGAAAAAGAAACCAAATGGCTTTCTTGCTTTGAGAAGTCTTTATAAATATGTGATTGGACAATAATTATCACTGGATGTTCCAGATTTAACCAGAAATTCTTTTCTCTGGAAACTACTTATATTAACCCCATTCCATATTGACAATTTTACTATGAAAAAAAAATTAGGAAAAATCTGCTCACTTCACTTTGGCCGCAGATGCTGATTGTAAATATTAAAATAACTTTATTTTTTCTTAAGGGCAATCCCAAAATGATCTTCGAGAAGCCAAAGTGAAAATCATAGGTGATGATGTCTGTAAGCAACCACAGGTGTATGGCAATGATATAAAACCTGGAATGTTCTGTGCTGGATACATGGAAGGAATTTATGATGCCTGCAGGGTAGGTTGGAGAGGAGGATTTTTTATATTATTAACGTAAAAATTTTTATTTGGCTCAGAAAATAATATATGTTATTTACATAAGGACAAAATATAGACAACATGTCAGCTCAGAAAAGTTACAAATGCAAATTTCACAACACAAAATATTTTTAAATGTTTTCTTAAGATAAATGAAATAAGAGTTTCTCTGATGCTATCAAACAAATAAAACCAGAATTTCTTAACCTGGAATCCAAAGACTAATAAAGCAGTTTATTTTCTCAAGGTGCTCACATTCAAGAAAGAAAATAGGTCATAAATGAAAAAGTATAAAGTGATGTTATAAATACTATAATGAAAAGCAAATATTTTTCTTGAAGGAAACATTTTTGGAGTATCAGAGAGATGAGATGTAAATAAGGCCTGAGGAATAAATAATACTTATCCAATTTCAGAATAAGAAAATAATGTTATCGGAAAGAAAAAAAAATAGCCAAAATTATGAAGGTATGAAATTACAACTCATATCTGAGAGAACTCCAAGTAATCTGTCGGGTCTCAGCATGAGGAGAATAAGAGGAGAAACAAGTTCATAACCGTGAGAAGGTAGATTAGGCCGTGATGTGAATCCATGGGCCCTCTCCAGTGGCTTCCTCTGCCTTCTAACATGTATCTTTTCCAATGAAGGTTTGAATGTGTTTCTTCCTGGAGACACTTGCTATTTAATATGAGATTCTTTAAAACTCCAAGGAGGCCACTCTATGTGGAAATGATGGAATGCTATTGACGTCAGGTGGTAGAAAGCCCTGTCTATAACCTATCCCACATGGGCAGCCTCTATCAGAAAAAGAGCAGGGAGCTATGTAGCATAGAGGCTGGGCAATGTAGCTATGTAGCTGGATCTGGTCCATAGCTAGTTGCAGTTGCTGAGAATGTGTAGAGGGGCAGCCAGAATTTGGGGACTCCAACAAAAGGTCCATACCAAGGGAAACAGGTGGAAGGTGGCAACAGGAGCCTTGGAGCAGACAGGACAGGGGAATTCAGGTGAACTCTGACATTACTGAAAAGGCTTAGGAGGTATTGGTGGTCATAGAAAGGTTTCACTGGATTGGGGAGCAGAGGTAAGCCTTCACTAACTGTGCAAAGTAAGTGATAAAACAAAGCTCTAGTCATAGAAAAATAGGGGAAGTTATCAGGGCAGCAATTCAGGCACAAGGATCTGAGACAGGAATTCAGTGATTGTAATTGGGGAACATGCTGAGGGGCTTAGTCTGATAAAACAGAAGTGCAAGCACCACCATCAGCTTGACTTTCTCCAGTTTACCAAATATTGATATATAACTTCATAAATCCCACCCTGCCTATGCATGAGTGATCCTAAAGCCTGCTTTGTGGGGAAAGGAGCGAGAAAGAACCCCTAGTTTTTCAACCAGAGGTCTAGCCAGGTAAGACCTAAACACAACTGAGAAAAGGATCAGAATTGCTTATAGGAAAGCTGTAAATGAAAGACTTTGACAGTTTGATCCAGGCTGGTGATTCTGCTGTTATTTCCAGTTCAGTTAAGCGTTTACAAAAGGATCCTTAGTTGTAGTTACCAAGGCAGCTGCTACACTCACTAGAGAACTCTGTCAAGACGACACTAAAAATCATTTCAGAAAATGATAGGTGGATGTTGGCAACATTTTTCTGAAGGACGTGTAATTTAAAATCAGGTAGTTGGGAACCTTCTGTATAGGAAAATTAGTCAAGAACTGTCTCTGGTCATTTTTCCATTTATTCTAACTCTCTTCATTTACTCATTAAGAAAAATATGTTTAAGTGCCCTGCTCTGTACCATACACTGTACATATACTGAAGGTAGTCTCACAGGCAAAAACCATCATGGAACCTGCTTTCAGGGAAACTACTGTCTAGTGGACCAGATATGAATGAATCAATCAAAAAATTATGCCAATAAGAAAGAAAACTTGGAAGGAGAAGGTCATGTTTCTATGAGTATATTTGTAAGAAATGAATAAAACTAGCTACAGGTGGTGAAGCTAAGTGGTGAATGGAGAGAGCTAGTATCTAGGAGAGGAGTAGGAGCTAACTAGGAAGATTGCAAATGATGATGGGGCAGGGTGAATTCTAGGAACTGAAACATCACATGGTGGAACACAGAAAACACACAACCCAGTGGTACAGGAAGAGGTAGAAGAGTTTGTTTGAAGCCAGACTCTGCAGGGCCTTGTGATCCACATTGTTTTTCCCTGTTTTGTAAGGACAATGGAAAGCCACTAAAAAATTTTAATCGAGAGATTTATATTAAATTAGTTAATATGTGTAAAGCTACCCAAACACTACCTGGGTTATTGTGAGTACTATTTCGATGTTTTTTTAACTAAAAGAGTGGAATAATCAAATTTGAATATTGTGAAACTTGTTCTGGTCACAGTAAGGAAAAAATCTGGAGAAGGGTAATTGAGGATCAGTAAACAGGTATTGCAAAAATTTAGGTGATATATGTTAGTTTGAACTAATAAGGTAACATGAAGACAACGATATTTAGAGGTAACAGGGGCAAATGAAGTAATGGATTTCACATGGTTGGATAGAAGGGATGAGGCAAAGAATGACCTATAAATTCATGGCTAAAAAATGAAAATAAACTTCCAGCTTGAATGGCTGCAAGAATTGTGTCAATAATGAGTTAGGAAGGAGCAACAAAGGTCCGGATCTAGAGAGACAACATGGGTCCAGCATCAGCCACGTGGTGTTGGAGGTGCTTTTGAGACATGCCAAGTAAGAAAGTGAGGACCTCTACCATGCCACTCCCCCAAGTTTTAGCTTAATTCTCTTTCTGTGTGTGAAATTTGTCTGTTACTGTATCCCCTGCCCTTTTGTGTTAGTAGCTGGCACTCAATTCACCTGGCACTCAATATGGCTTCTTGCTGCCTTTGTGCCCTGCCTCTTCAAATAGATAGTAAGGACCATGGAGGCTCCTTGCTAATTAACTTTTTCCTGGGTGATTGATTATTCAAGGAAAAGGAAATGAGAATTCATGAAAAGAAAGAGAGAAAGAAGAGGAAGAGTAATACTATTTGAACTATCATTTGTCTAAATTTACAATCTAAAAGTGCACTGCAGTTGGCCTGAAACGAAATCACTGGGGATGCTTGTTAAAAATACAGGTCTAGGATCCCACCCTAGGCTAACATAATCTTTAGAAGTAAGCATTAGAGATCTGCATTTAAGAACTTCCCTTCATAACTTTTATTCAGAATGAAATCTGAGAAACACTGATAAACTGATGTCAGTTATAAATACCAAGATGCTCATGGTAATGTAACTCTCTTTTCTCATCTACAGCTAACACAATGCCTTTTTAATATTCTGTATAGGATTTTGAATAATTCCACCTGTCTGTTTCCATATCCTTCATAGTGTATAGAATGTTTCTTGTTATATTTAATACATTCTATCTTAGTTGATCTTCATTTTGAGAGTTTTTTTTAAAAAACCCTATACTTTCCAACTTAAGGAAATGAAGAAAAGATCATTGTACTGGTTTTTTAAACTGATCTAATCCATATCACATCAACTAAAAAACCCTATTAAACAATACTCTGAAGGGAGGCAGAAGCCATACATAAATGTCAAGAAACCATGCTGCTATTAGATGACACTTAAAAAAAAGTCCATTTCATAGACCAAGTCCACGATAGCTTCAAAAAATGTTCATGTACAGTAGAGTAATCATGGATGTTCCCAATGAAAGCCCAAAGGAACATTTTAATGAATAAAGATTAAATTATGTTTGGCATTTTATTACTCTCAGGTGGGTTTTAATTTATCCTCATTTGGACACTAGACAAGAAGTTGGACTTCCTATTTTTTTTTCTCTAACCCACTGCATCCTTAGCTATGATTTTGTATTAGCCAGATTTTCTAAGTTTCTTCTTTATTCATCTTTAAAATGTATAGATTGAAATATCTAAACATGGAGATTTTACATTCAAATTCATCTATATTCTTCCCAAAAACCCATCAAAATGACAACAAAGGAAGACAAGGCCAGGTGTGGTGGCTCACACCTGTAATCCCAGCACTTTGGAAGAACAAGGATAGAGAATTGCTTGATCCCCAGGTCTTCAAGTCTAGCCTGGACAACAAAATGAGACCCAATCTCCACAAAATTTAAAAATTAGCTGGGCATGATGGGGCATGCCTGTAGTCCCAGCTACTCAGAAGGCTGAGGTGGGAGAATTGCTGGAGCCCAAGAGTTTGAGACTACAGTGAGCTATGATTATGCCAGTACACTCCAGCCTGGGAGACAAAGAGCGCCCCCCCCCAAAAAAAAAAACAAAAAAATCCCACAATAATCATTTTGAAAAATTATTTGGCATTATATTCAAAACATAATTTTCTATGTATCTACAAATTATACTTTAAAAAAAAGCTATCGACCAATAAAATCCAAAAGAGAAAAAAACGGAAAAGTTCCAACAAAATTTTGAAAGCGAAAGAGAAGATGGAGGAGATTTAACTGATTTAGTAAAAAAGAAGTTAAAACATAAATGTCTTAGGTGGAGAGAGGAGTGGAATACCATTTTAAGTAAGACCAATATTTTGGGAGAGCATCTAAAGCTGAAGTTTGGGGTCAGACATGAGCTAGAAAATGGGTGTGCAAATGTTTAAAGACTTCAGAGAGAGTACTTGGAATTCCCCATTTCTTCCTATCCTGAATAACCAGTCTAATCCATATCACATCTCATACTTTCCCCACCTCTACCACCTCTTTCCAAATATATGAACTCCAGAGATGAGAAGTTTGTACTCTGGACACTAAACATAGTAGAAAGCAGAGGGGGCCTGAAAAGGTGGGATTATGTGAAAGCAGGCCTCAACCTCTTCTCATGCTTTCTCTCAAAATGTTGCAGGCAGATGTACACAATCTTTCCAACTTTCTCCCAGTGAAAGAGATTGCAGGATTCTTCTTTAGAGAAGCCCACTGTCTAGATTAAAAAAAAAAATACCTCCACATACTGATATTTGAGAGGCCCCTACCAGAATAAAGAGTATCAGTCGAGAAGCCCTCCTACATGTCTTAGTTCATTTTGTGCTGCTGTAACAGAATGCCCAAAACTAAGTTCATATAAGGAACAGAGATGTATTTGCAGTTCTAGAAGCTGGAAAATCCAAGCCTGAGGGCCCCACAACTGGTCTTCTTGCTTTATCATCCCATGCAGAAAGGTGGAAGGGCAAAGAGAGCACACAAGATGGATGGAGGGAGAGAAGGCCAAACTCATTCTTCTATCAGGAACTTACTCCTGTGATAACAAACTCACCTCTCTATGATAATAATATTAATTCACTCCTGAGAGCAGAGCCCTCATGACCTAATCACCTCTTCTTGGGTCCCACCTCTCAACACTGTTGCATTGGGGATTAAGTTTCCCCAACACATAAACTCTTGGGTACACATTCAAATCATAGTACCACCCATCATAAAAGCACAGAGCTTCCAATCTGGTTTCTAGCAAAATGTCCTAGAACCAAACAGTAAGAATCATCTCTGGAAATGTAGCAATAATATAATTATAATTTTAAAAATCCAGTGGAAGGATTGGAAGACAAAATCAAGACAATCTCTCAGAAAGAACAAAAAAGACAAAGAGGAGAAAAATAACAGGAAAAAATAAGAAAAATGTAGGATAAGCTCAGGAAGTCCAACATCAAATGAATAGGAGTTCTTAAAACATAAAACATGAGTGTACAATATCAAAAAAATAGTAAGGAATGCTCCTTGTTCTGAAGCTTACATGCATCCTATCGAAGAAAAGGTCCAAGTAGTGCCAGGCACAGTAAATGAAGTGATTCTTTCCAAGACATGCCATCATAACGGGTCAGAAGCCAAGGATAAGGAAAATGATCTTAACACTTTGAAGAAAGAAGCATCATAACTATGTAGAAGTCCTCCACAGTAACTCTAGAAGGTAGAAGACGGTGGAAAATGTATTCAAATTTCAAAGGGATTATTATTTCAACCTAGGTTCCTGCTCATGCTAATTAAATATCCATTGTGAGGGTGGAATTAAGAATTTTAGACAATCAATGACTCAAAAAAGTATTTATGATACCCTCTTTCTTTATCATTATTATTATTTGTTTTTTTATTTTACTTTAAGTTCTGGGGTACATGTGCAGATCATGCAGAATTGTTATATAGGTATATACATGCCATGGTGGTTTGCTACATCCATCCCCCCCATCATCTACATTAGTTATGTCTCTTAATGTTATCTTTCCCCAATTCCCCCAGCCCCTGCTATCCCTCCCCTAGCCTCCCAACCCCCACAACAGGCCCTGGTGTGTGATGTTCCCCTTCCTGTATCCGTGTGTTCTCATTGTTCAACACCCACTTATGAGTGAGAACATGTCATGTTTGGTTTTCTGTTCTTGTGTCAGTTTACTGAGAATGATAGTATCCAGCTTCATCCATGTCCCTGCAAAGGACATGAACTCATCCTTTTTATGGCTGCACAGTATTCCATGGTGTATATTTGCCACATTTTCTTTATCTAGTCTGTTATTGATGGGCATTTGGGTTGGTTCCAAGTCTTTGCTATTGTAAACTGTGCCACAATGGTGAACATAGGGTATATACCCAGTAATGAGATTGCTGGGTCAAATGGTATTTCTATTTCTAAATCCTTGAGGAATCGCCACACTGTCTTTCACAATGGTTGAACTAATTTACACTCCCACCAACAGTGTAAAAGCCTTCTTATTTCCCCACATCCTCTGATACTGTCTTTCTTAAGAAACTACTTGAGAGGCCACCTTAGCAAAATGAGGGAATAAGTCAAGAAAGTGGAAGACATAAGACCTGAAATTGTGAATCCAACACTAAAAAGTGGTGTCAGATAAACCCAGCACCATAGGTCTGCACCAGGCTTAAAGTAACCAGCCCAAATTTGAGCAGAAGAAATTTTAAAAAGTACGTGTGTGTGTGTGTGTGTGTGTGTGTGTGAATATGTGAATATGGTGGAACATCTTCAGAGGAAGCAAAAGAACTAACAAGCTATCTGATGTCCTTGAACGTTAGTAAACATTATTGTGAGATGTTTGTAGATCTTTTGGAACATTCAACATTTACTAGGTATATAGAATACTAGCTACATTTTTTAAAAAAAAGAGTTATTAATTCTAAGAAAGCCAAAAAATTTCTGTGATCCAAATATGCTACTTGACATTTCAGTTAATACAATTTACAAACTCCATTAAACATAGACTAATTTAACCAAAAATAGAGATGCTATAATGTAAAGATGTGGTATGGAAAAGCTGCAAAGAGGTTGTAAAACAACTAAATCCCTAACTACACAAGAGAAAATCAATATTTACTAAGTCTAGACACTGCAATTTGAGTATAATAATCTACTGATAAGAAGTTAGATGCCATAAGAGATTATTAAACAATCATGAAGTGGCTACATCCTGGAGAACAGCCTGCGTGAGGAAACGTGGGACATAATTCCTTTTCAAGCCACTTCATGTTCTTTCATTTTTGTCATTTTTAACTAAGCGCTATTTACTCTAACGAAATAAACTTAAATTTTTAAATGTGAAAGTTAAACCTTAAGACTCTTCGTAGTTTAAAATCCATGTCTCAATTAAGTACTCTGTGTTGATAGTCTATACATGTATTGTCTAGTAACAAAATATGTGATTCATCAAAATATCTTAAAAGAGCTTTATCTTAATGAGCTTTATGTTTAGCTAATTTACTTTCTGTTTTCTCACCTTTTTACTTTTAGGGTGATTCTGGGGGACCTTTAGTCACAAGAGATCTGAGAGATACCTGGTATCTTATTGGAATTGTGAGCTGGGGAGATAACTGTGGTCAAAAGGACAAGCCTGGAGTCTACACCCAAGTGACTTATTATCGAAACTGGATTGCTTCAAAAACAGGCCTCTAATTCACCATAAAAGTTAAAACAAGGAGAGCTGTATGCAGGTCATATATGCATGAGAATCCAACTATTTAGTGGGTGTAGTACAACAATGTGATATTAAATTACTGGATCTGGCAACATGAAACACAACATAACTTATTTAGAATCACTTTAATCAACCAATAATCCTTAGACAATTTATAAGGAACTTTTATTTGTAAAGTAATGGATCTGTTTAGCCTGGTTTGAAAAATACAGTAGAGATACTTAGCTCTTTAAATCACAAATGTTGAAGCACAAATGAGACTCAATACAAATTTTTGAAGATAGTTCATGAGATTTTTAGAATGTCTTTGTCAAGGGTCTCCTTTTAACTGAGAAACTTTTTGAACTGACAAAGAGTTCAAGAAACCCTTGCATAATTCCCTACATTTCTCTAGACCTCACAAATGCTTTTTTTCCCCTTATTCAATCAGATTTTCCAAAGCACTTTTCCATCATAAGAAATGAATTTTCTACTTCTAAACCCATTTGAGGAATACCAATAAAAGAAAGTCATATGTAGGAAATGAAGTCTGATTGTAAAACAAGCCAGAGATTTTCTAACCTTTTTTTAGTTATAAAACCTCTAATTTTTGGTGACTTTTCTATACATACATGCACACACACACACACACACACACACACACACACACATAGATTTCCTATCCTACAGATATAACCAGAAAAATCCTGATTAATACAGAATATGCATAGTGATTAATTAATCAAAACTATGTATTTGTTAAAAATTTGGGGGAAGGTGATGGTAATTTCATGAGTAGTGTCAAAACACACTCAATGAATTAGCCATTTCATTGATGCACTTATATATTTTGACCACAAGGGGAAAATTTTGTACATTATTATTGTATGATTAAATATCTGAAAAAAATGGATAATTTACTAATACTTTAAAAAAAAACAAAGAACATTGCCTTCCTCTGTAGCAAGAAAAAAATTATGCCCTTGCATTTCTACAGCCAAATAGCTTACAAAGCTTATGGCAATGTCCCAACTATTGCAACCATAAAACCCTAGTTTTTGAAAAATTTGAAAATAAACATAAATTTTGAGCACCTACTGCGTATAACACATGAACAAAGTGGTCCAAAAGAGAAAACATACTCCATAAACAATGTGTCTTATGAAGTAATTAGAAGAGTAACGCTCATGTATTTTGTAATACAATTAAATTAAGGTTTTGTGGAAGCATCTATTCTGCTTCCACAGAATGTGGAATGCCTGTGAAACATTATGGTCTGCAGGCTGGGGAGTCATTTACTCATGTAGTCCAAATATAAGACAAATCATTGGAACAATGAACTTACTTTATAATAATTTCCCTCATGCTCTATTGAAAGGCATGAAAATAATCCTAAAATATCTAAAAGAGATATGCAGTTCATTCATAAAACATTTGATTCATAATTTAGACTCATAGAATTTTAGAGCTTAGAAGAGATTGCATGTCACATAGGTTAATACACTTGTTATGTGTAAGACAACTGAAGCCAGAAAACAAAAATGACTCAGTGAAGCAGTAGGTAGTTTTGCATCGCCAGTGGGCCTAGAACACAAGTACCAATTTCACCCTCCCTTTTTCTTACAAAGTATCTTTATTATCCCCTATATTTACTGAATCATCAGATCTACAAAATTTTAAGTGAGAGCTATAAAATCTGTCTTAAGGTAGAAAACTCTTAAGGAAAGAATTTTAAATGATGAGATTCATTTAGGCAGCTGGCTGCCAATTCTCTGAATTCGCTTCAAGACAAAGTTTCTTCTTCATATATAAATATACATAAGCATATAAGTTATTCTATATTATGGTGGTAAAATTTAATGCTGACTTTAGATGTTCAGATTCAGGAAATGATCTTAGAACTATAAATATTGTATTTTTAAACTATTTGATGCAGCATTTCATTTTGGGTCACATGTAAGCAAATATTGATATGTCATTTTAAATCTAATAAAGTTGGTGATCAATTCTACAAACAATATCACTGAGTTTGTTTTAGGCCAATATCATGAATCTTTCAACTGTCATTAAAAATCACATTTCTTTTAAATAATAGTTTGGATCACTCTGAAGCTGAGTTCACAAACTTGGCACTATTAATATTTTGGTCTGGATAATGTTTGATTGTAAGGGGTTATCCTGGTCATTGTAGAATACATAGCAGCATCCCACTAGACGCCTGTAGCATACCCCTTTTCTGAAATTATTATAACCAAAAATATCTCCAGACATTGGCCAATATTGCCTAAGGTATAAAATTGGCTCCTATTGAGAACCACTATTCTGGATTCATTTGATCCTTTTTAGAAATGTAAGAGACTCCGCAAAGTTATGACACCAATTTTTTTTTTTTTTTTTGAGACGGAGTTTCACTCTTGTTACCCAGGCTGGAGTGCAATGGCGCGATCTCGGCTTACCACAACCTCCGCCTCCTGGGTTCAGGCAATTCTCCTGCCTCAGCCTCCTGAGTAGCTCGGATTACAGGCACGTGCCACCATGCCCAGCTACTTTTTTGTATTTTTAATAGAGACGGGGTTTCACCATGTTGACCAGGATGGTCTCGATCTCTTGACCTTGAGATCCACCCACCTCGGCCTCCCAAAGTGCTGGGATTACAGGCTTGAGCCACCACGCCCAGCCATGACACCAAGTATTAAGAAACTATGGTTTTCTGATCAAACTGAATATTCACTATCATGTTCCAAAAAGAAATAACAGAATACATGACTGGTGCTTCAGTCTGTGACTGTTTCAAATACAGACTGATCTCCCAACACGTAATGTGCTCAAAGAATTTCTCTTATACTTCTGCCTAAACTGGAGGATAGTCATAGAGCACCATTAAATTTTTTCATGAAGATAGGGTTTTATGAGAAACACTCTCTAGCAGAGTTTCTCTAAAAACTCTGAGAAGTTTCTAGATTGATCGCAATCCACAGTCAGAAATATGTTTCACATCACAGCTCCATACATATACAACAAAATACATACAAAATTTGAAACAGAAGTTTCATAAAACAATACTTACCCTTACAAAATGTAATGAAATCTACTGTATTCTATTTTATTGTACTCTTTGCTATTCAATGCTATTCCACTTTTAAAAAAAACATTTACCCCATCAACTAAATTGATTTCACAATCTAATCAATCATGACCAACAATGCCAATAAAATGTTCTCAAATAATCATTCACTATTATATTTTTTATTTGTATAAGTTTAAGGGATACAAAGTGCAGATCTGTTGCATGGATACATCGTACAGTGATGAAGTCTGGGCATTTAGTATATTACTAACATCCATTTGGGGAGGAATGGAACAGGATAACAGAATAGAAGTCTCCACCGATTGTCCCTCTCCCCAAAAGATACCAATTTAACACTATCTACACAAAATGATCACCTTCATCAGAACCAAAAATAGTGTAAGAACTCACAGTATCTGATTTTAACCTTATATCACTGAAAGAGGCACTGAAAAGATAGGAAAAAGCAGTCCTGAATCGCAGACACCATGCCTTTCCCATGCCCTGGAAGCAGCAGTGTGGTGCAAAGAATATTTTGGCATGCTGGTTAAAGAGAAATGACAGCATTTTTGAGGCATTGAACTCAGTGCTGCCCTATTATAACAGAAAACAAACACAGACTCAACTCAGCTGACACCCACCCATGGAGGGAGCATGTAAACCAGCCCTAACCAGAGGAGAATCATCTATCCCAGTGGTCCAACCTTGTGTTCCTGTGAGCCTCATCACCATGGGCTAAAGTGTTCTGGAGCTCCAAATAAACTTGACAGCCAAGCTAGGCAACCAGGATTGAATCTCACTTAGGATGAGTCCTAGTGCTGAAATGGGTCCAGGAAGAGTGGATTGGAGACAGCATGTAACCTACTGAGACACCAGCTGAGAGAGCACTTGCATCACTTCTCCCCTAATCCCAGGCTGCACAACTCATGGCCCCAACAGACCCATTCCCTCCATTTGAGGAGAGAGGACAGAATAGTGGGGAGGACTTTGTCTTGCCTCTTGGATACAAGCTCAGCCACTGCAGGATAGGGCACTGGTCAGAGTCAGGAGACCCCCTTTCCAGGTCCTAGCTCCTGGATGACATTTCTAAACACACCCTGGGCCAGAAGGGACCCTGCTGCCTTGAAGCGAAAGACCTAGTCTTTGCAGAATTCATCCCTTGTTAACAGAAGAGCCCTTGGGCCCTAAATAATCAGCAGCAATACCTAGGTACTATGTTGAAGACCTTGGGAGAGACTCTAAGATGTGCTGGGCTCAGATGAGACTCAGAATACTCCAAGCTGTGGAGGGCAAGGGGTGAGACTCCTTCCCACTCAAAAAGCAGAGAGAAAAGCAAAGAGGACTTTGTCCTGCACTTTAGGTACTGGCTTGGCCACAGGGGGATAGAGTACCATGTGTGCTCTTGGGGTCTCCAACTAAGACTTGACCCTTGGTTGGTATTTCTGGACCTTCTCTAGGCCAGAAGAGAGCCTATTGCCCTAAAGGGTGAGTCTCAGGCCAGGCAGAATTCACCACATGCTGAAAAAAAAGCCCTTTGGCCTTTATGGGAATATCACTGGTAATCTGGGAGTACTCCTATGGCCCTGTGGTGGTCATGGCCATGGGGTGAGTCTTCTCTGCCTTTGGAAAGAAGAACTGCATCTTGTGGTTGGAGTGCCAGCTCAGCCACAGTAAAATAGAATGTCAGGTAGACTTCTAAAGCTTTTGACTATAGTCCCTGGCTCCCAGAAAGCACCCTGGATATGCCCAGGGGTGGGGGGAATTCACCACCCTGAAGGGAAGAATACAGGCCTGGCTGGCTTTGCCACCTGCTGACAGTAGAGTCTCAGGGCCTTAAATGAACATAGATAATAGCCAGGAAATGGTTACAGCAGGCCGTGGGTGAGACCCAGGTCTGTGCTGGTTTTGGGTCAGACACAGCACAGTTCTAGTGGTGTTGGCCGTAGAGATGCTTGTGTTACACCATTCCCAGTTCCAGGTGTCTTAGAACAGAAAGAGAGAGAGAGAAACTTCATTCACTTTGGAGAAAGTAAGGAAAGATAACAATAGTCTCTGTCCGGTAATCCAGAGAATTCTTCCAGATCTTGTCCAAGACCATCAAGACAGTACTCTATGAGTCTGCAAGAACCACATTGGTACTAAGCCTGGGGTGTCCACTTAAAGCAGATAGGGCTTAGATCACAATACCCAAGGCCTTTTGAATATTTGGAAAGCCTTCTCAAGAAGGATGGCTGCAAATAAGCTCAGACTGAGAAAACTACAGTAAATACCTAACTCTTCAAAGCCCAGACATTGAAGAACATCTACAAGCATTAACAACATGCAGGAAAAATGTGACCTAATCAAATGAACAAAATAAGGCACCAGGGACCAATCCTGGAGAAAAAAAGATGAACTTTAAAACAGATATTCAAAATAGCCATGTTGAAGAAACTCAAAGAAATTCAAAACAAGACAGAGAAGGAATACAGAATGCAATCAGGTACATTTAACAAAGAGATTGAAATAATTAGAATTACACAGAAATTCTGGAGTTGAAAAATGCAATTGGCATACTGAACAATGCATCAGAGTTTTCTAATAGTAGAAGTGATTAAACAGAAGAATAAATTAGCCTGAAGATAGGGTATTTGAAAATAGATGAAACAAAAGAATTTTTAAAATGAAACATACCTACAAGATTTAGAAAATAGCCTAAAAAGGACAAAGTAAGAGTTTTTGGCTTTAAAGATATAATAAAGAA